AAGGGGGAGATCAGATTTCACAGGGAAGGGCTTATTTCACAGTCCGTGACCCATTTTTCACAGCTGCGAAATTGGTAGGGTCATACTTATAATTAGTCAAGTAAATTGTTTTGAGGAGCAGTTGTTGGGTGAGTTCTAGTGCCTCCTGCTGGAAATCATCAGTAATGCCTTCAAGTTCCCTGTTGGATAGCAGATCCACCCATATGTTCAAGGTTAACAAACATACTGTTTCAGAGAAGAAAAATTACAGATAAAGGCCAGAGTTTCTTTGCCTAGTGTGATTTCATGGTGGCATGTTTAAAAAAAATCAGTGCTCTTGTACTGTAAGCAGTTTCTGATAGTTACATTTTTTACTGGTAAACATAATATACTGTATAGTAGTGATGCATGTTTAGTTTTGAGCATCTGACAAGCAATAGAAATCCAACAAATGTGATTGTAAAAATGAAGTTAGAATTTGAGGATAACAGTAAATTCTATGGTTTAGTGATTTTAGTGCATGTATTAATATGAACCCTAATACTTTTTTATCTTGGAAGCACAAACAAGAAACATGGAAACAAACAACACTGAGTGATAACTGAACTTATGGCATAAGGCTGTTTTTATCAGTCATATTTGAATGTGGTTTCACCAGTTTAATCTCTAGGACATAAATAAATAAACCTTTAACAAGGTCTATAGTTCACAAGATTATCACAAAATGATAGGGGGTTATAAAGTACCTAAGTGTACATGTAAAGGAGAGATGGGGAGGAGAAACTTAACATACTTAATTGAGGAAAAATTAGACCAGTCTAGCATAAATGTAGTAGTAGTCAGGTGATAAGCTTTTACAAATATCTTGGAAGGTGTAAGTTATAATTTCATTTTAAGGAGGAAAAACTATCAAATGTTTCTGTTCCACCTCTGGAGCATCCAAAAACATTGTCCCCTTCCCCATCACCATAAGCACAGCTGGATCACAAGTAATGAACTCATCAGTAATAATGAATGTCTGTTATTCCATCACCTGAATTTTCTTATGTACCGCTTCTTTTTGTCTGTCTTTTAAGCTTCTAAGATCTTCAGGGCAGGAACCACCTTTATCTCTGTTTTGTATAGTGCTGAGCATAGTATCAGTTGTAAATAATGTTAATACTCTTTAATACTACTAGCCTGCTGACTAACAAGTTGTTCTCCTTTTACTTGGATGACTAGCTACTGAAGACCCCATCTAAGCAAGTTATAGTGTGATCTTTAGAAACCAATTTTTTTCCCTTCAGGTCACCCTCTTTTCTATTAAGAGGGTAGAAATGTCTTGGTTATACTTCATACAGGCACTATTGAATTCAGTCCAGCAAGGCAATTGCCTTCCTTATGGACAGTCAGTTGAGGGATGTTCTAAGGAAAAGTCAGTCTATTTGAGCAGCTGCATGTATGCCACAGTGCAGCTTTTGGCACAAGAAGGTCCTGGTCCATGACTGGTATCCATGACGATAATATAAATAATAACAGCTCAACTGTTTTAGGATCAAACACTGCAGAATAAACAGCTGGAGATGTGGTAACAATGCTACTGTAATTGAGCTGCATACAGTGTAATTTTGGAATGTATTTGCACTTTAACAAAACAAATTTATTATCGATTAAAATGGACAAAGGTATTTGTGAATATAGTATATTCATACCTAGCAATAAGCTGTAATTGATATTACATTATAGCTGCAAATGTGCATTTGGAATCTCTGAATTAACCACGTGAAAACACTTACAAAAATAACCCAAATGTATAAGTTTTCATAAGCATAGAAGGGATAAGTACTTCTGATTTCCTAGAATTAAAGTAGTTAAATAGTAATATACAAGTTCACAGTGTCAAGCCATACAAAAATCAGTAGAAGATGATAAAGTGAGGTTACCATTATACAGTGTACTTTAAGCCACATTATAAGAGGAATAAACACTGCAGCCCCACCATGCTGTCCACAAAAAATGCAGCACTTGGCCTTCGTGAATATGTCATTACATACCTCAGTACACGGGGGAAGAAAGAATACGCTGCATCAAGGCAACACAGTTAAAGTGCTAGAGCTGTAAATCAGCTCTTGCACAATCATGTATCCTGATGGGCTGGTCCACACTGGGCCGGGGGATTGATCTAGGAAACGCAACTTCAGCTACGAGAATAGCATAGCTGAAGTTGACGTTTCCTAGATCGAACTAAGTTTACTTACTGCGGGTCCACGCGGCGCAGGCAAGCTCCCCCGTCGACAGTGCTTCCTCCTCTCGGCGAGCAGGAGTTCCGCAGTCGACGGGGGAGCGCTTCTGGGATCGATTTATCGCGTCCAGATGAGACGCGATAAATCGATCCCAGAAGATCAATCTCTACCCGCCGAATCGGGCGGGTAGTGTGGACCTAGCTGATGTCTACAGATAGAAAATTAAAGATTATGGTCTTGATCTTGGCCCCTGTTAAATTCCTTAAGCGATTCTGTGTTCTTCCTCCAAGAAGGCAGAGCACAGAAGGCACAGCTAAAGAGAAGAAGAGAGCAAAGATGATTTTATGCCTTACAGTGACCTGTGTCAGGCCCAACAATGCATTCTATATAATTTCTTTAAAAAAACAAAATGTAGCCTAATTTGGAATAACAAATGCATCAGAACTGGGTGAGGGGAGGCGAATACATTCACCATTTTAAACTTTCATCTCTCCCTTTTTAAATTTTATAGTCCACTAGTCTAGTAGTTTACAGATGACTAATGGAATGGAAAAGCAAAACAGGATGAGAGAAGGAATATATAGTCAAAAAAGTTACTAGTTTCATAATATGATATCTATTTAATGTATTGAAGTGCATGCAAACTACAGACACAATACTTCTAAAGATTAAATGACCCAAACAAAGCAAATGAAAGAAAAAATTTAAATGATTGCCAAATCTGACCACAACTATTGAAACTGCTTAGCATGAAAAATAGTTCCATGTAAATACCACTTACTGAAATAAAATACATTGGCCATAATTTTGTGCCAAGGAATAAAGCTTGTATACAAGGCTAATATTATGTTAACCTTTTACCTATGTAACAATTTTGTATACTTGTTTAAATCTGCTGGTGTCTGTAACTCTATTAAGTCATATGAAACAAATGTCATTTCTAATTTGGCCAAATAAAATATTTTACTTATTCCTCCAATCCTGAAATAAACTTGGTTCATTATTCTAATATTTAAACTGATTTTTTTCTTATTTCTCTTTGAAATTCTAATACAGTCATTGCAAATTTATGGGAACAATTACTCTTTTATCATTGTAGAAGTCCTTTATTAACTTTTATACCGGAGTCATAAATCACTACAGCCTATATTTTTCACACAATACATTTCCTTAATCTAGCCTCAAAGTCCATTTCCTGCAAACCCTTTATCATTCTACATTAGTAGCTTTTCTCCACACTCTGTCCAATTTCTCTTCACTGTACTATTGCAAAGTGCGTGTAGTACTCTAGTTGATAGAATTAGTCTGGTAGTTCAAATTTGCTTATGATTTTTAATGTAATAACATTCCATTAGAAAATATATGGAAAATGAACACTCTAATGACAAGTAATCCATAGTGGGTTTTTTGAATGAAATATCTATTCTATGTTGTACTGGACTATTAAGAGTTATAGTGGTACATAAAACAGAAAAAGATATGTTGTACAAAATGGTACCACAGTTAAGTGCATAAACTATTTGCCTTAACTAATCTTCTTGCAACAAGAAAGATAGGGTTAAAAAAAAAAAAAGCCAGGAATGTTATGCCCAAGTAGCCTTTTTTGCTTCCTCATATTTCTCAGTTTCTTAAACTTTCTTGCTCTTGTCATTTACCTTTTCATCTCAGACATGGTATATCAAATTCAAGTTCACAGAATGTGCATTAATAAGTACACATTTCTGAGTACCTATTAGTGTAATGCAGGTAATTGCACTGAAAATGTAATTAATTGGGTAGTTCTTGTAGAAACTAAATATAAACAATAAAATTTAAGTGTTGTATCCAGTTGGCTTTTTATTAAGTAATGTTTTTCACAAACAGAACATAAAAAAGCACATAAGAAACAGAAAATTTGCTTTATAATATGGCTTCTGAAAAGTGATTATAAAACTTATTTGCTTGACTGCATATAAACATACCCAGAACAAAAGCTATATAAAGCAAGAATGTTCCTTTGTTAGGTGTACTCACGTTGAGTTGTCTTTGAAGTTCATGAAGTTCTCTAAATCAACGTTCTCCTCCTTGCCTGAGGAGGTTGTGAAGGCTAGGACTATAACAGGGTTTAAAAGAGAACTAGATAAATTCATGGAGGTTAAGTCCATTAATGGCTATTAGCCAGGATGGGTAAGGAATGGTGTCCTTAGCCTCGGTTTGTCAGAGGGTGAGATGGATGGCAGGAGAGAGATCACTTGATGATTACCTGTTAGGTTCACTCCTTCTGGGACACCTGGCATTGGTCACTGTCGGTAAACAGGATACTGGGCTGGATGGACCTTTGGTCTGACCCAGTATGGCCATTCTTATGTTCTATTCTAACGTGCTATACACCGCTACCTCGATATAACGCCACCCGATATAACACGAATTCGGATATAACGCGGTAAAGCAGTGCTCCGGGGGGGGAAGGGGAGCTGTGCACTCCGGTGGGTCAAAGCAAGTTCAATATAACGTGGTTTCACCTATAACGCGGTAAGATTTTTTGGCTCCCGAGGACAGCCTTATATCGAGGTAGAGGTGTATAAAGTAAAAGCAAAATGTGTATGTTCACATCCAAACTGTATTTGAGTTTGTTACTGTGTTGGATTTTTATAAACCAATACTCTGCCTTAAAACACAATGCCTTTACATATTTTTGTTTTGGGAATCTATCTTTTTCAACAAACTACCATTTTCCTTGTGTTTTCTTGGGAAGTTCTTTTAATGTAGACACAACAAAACAGTGCAAAACAGCAAAATTTTACTTTTTTGTAATTTTAGGATGTGCTAATGGAATTGTTAGAGCAATGTGCAGATGGACTCTGGAAGGCTGAACGATATGAACTGATTGCTGACATCTACAAACTTATCATTCCCATTTATGAAAAACGGAGGGATTTTGAGGTATTTGATAGGCGTCTGTTTTAAAATTTGTCTATGAAAACAACCTAGCCTTTTGAATCTATAATAGTATGATGTATCAAATATCTCTGAACAATACAGCATCAGAACAATTTTATTTGAAGTATTTGTTCAAATTTAAAGTGGCATGTTTAATTTAAAACCAAAAAAGTTTGGTCTTTCACTTGCACAGTTCCTGCTTCATGTATACCTTGAAGAACTAAATGGTTTTGTATATGCCTTTCATCATTGGAATTTATACTGTGCAGCCAATTAAAAATCAATATGCAAAAACAGATAGCTTTTCATAAAACAATTTTACATGCATGATCCTGCATGTGTATACATATAATAATAAAAAGTTAACGTAATGAAATTATTTTCAGAATTTTTTTTATCCAACTGAAAACCAATGGCAAATACAATTCCAACTCCAAAGAAGTTCTGAGCATCTTTAACTACCATTTAAGTCAATTAGAGTGGCATGTTTAACACCTCTTAGGATTTAGTATTGTTACTTTTAGGATTGTTTTTCATAAACTTTATTCAGTAGTCATTTGATATTACATTTCTATAATATCAAATAGTATTGAAAATGCAATATGGGTAATACTGAGGGATGTACTGTATTCACTTGATGCATGATCATTGACAAATCAGTTTGGGCCTGATCACGGCTGCAGTTATACACTGACACAGAGATGTAAGGGGGAGTTATTCCTTCCCTACCTTCCCTACCTTCTCCTGTCAGCAGATGGGTAGGGGAATGGGTGATGTTTAAAAAAAGGCTCCAGTGACATGCCTGGCAATTATGGTCTAGTAAGCCTAACTTCAGTACCAGGCAAATTGGTTGAAACTATAGTAAAGGATAAAATTATCAGACACATAGAGAAACATGATATGCTGGGGAAGAGTCAACATGGTATCAGTAAACATGTGGACGAGGTTGATCCCGTGGATATAGTGTACTTGAACTTTCAGAAAGCCTTTGACAAGGTCCCACACCAAAAACTCTTAAGCAAATTAAACAGTCATTGAATAAGAGGGAAGGTCATCTCATGGATCAGAATCTGGTTAAAAGATAGGAAACAGAGTAGGAATAAATGGTGGTTTTCATAATGGAGAGAAGGTAAATAGTGGAGTCCCCTAAGGATCTGTACTGGAACCTATTCATAAATGATTTGGAAAGCATAGTCAACAGTGAGGTGGCAAAATTTGCAGATTATACTAAATTACTCAAGATTGTTAAATCCAAAGCTGACTGCAAAGAATTAAAAGGGATCTCACTAAACCGGGTGACTGGACAACAAAATGGCAGATGAAATTCAATGTTGATAAGTGCAAAGTAATACACATTAGAAAAAATAATCCCAACTATCAGACAAAATGATGGGGTCTAAATTAGCTGTTACCACTCAAGAAAGAGTAATTGTGGATACTTCTCAGAACATCTGCTAAGCGTGCAGCAGCAGTCAAAAAAGCTAGCAATGTTAGGAACCTCTAGGAAAGGGATAAATAATAAGACAGAAAATATCATAATGCAACTGTAAAAGTGGATGATTCTGTGTGCAGTGCAGGTTGTCCCATCTCAAAAAAGATATATTAGAATTGGAAAAGGTTCAGAGAAAGGCAACAAAAACTATTAGGAGTACAGAACAGCTTCCATCTGAGGAGAGATTAAAAACACTTGTTCATTTTAGAAAAGAGATTACTAAGGGGGCATATGATAGAGGTCTATAAAATCATGAATGATGTGGAGAAAGTTAATAGAGAAATGTTATTTACCCATTCACATAACACATGAACCGGGGTCACCCCATGAAATTAATAGGCAACAAGTTTAAAACTAAAATAAGGATGTACTTCTTTACACAACACACAGTCAACCTGTGAAACTCTTGCCAGGGGATGTTGTGAAGGCCAAAAGTATAGCAGGGTTCAAAAAAGAATTAGGTAAGTTCATGGACGATAGGGCGATCAATGACTATTAGCCAAGATGGTCACAGACACAACCCCATGCTCTGAGGGTATATCTACACTGCAGTTAAAAACCTGTGACTGATCCATGCTACCTGACTCAGGCTAAGGGGTGTGGGCAAAGGGGTTATTTAACTGTGGTGTAGACATTCAGGCTTGGGCTGAAGCCCTGACTCTGGGACCCTGCGAAATGGGAGGATCCCAGAGGCCAGACATCTACACCGAAATTAAACAGCCCCTTAGCCCGATTCCACCAGCATGTGCCAGTCATGGGTTTTTAATGCAGTGTAGATATACCCTAGGTGTCCCTAAGCCTCTGATGGCCAGAAGCTGGGACTGAATGACAGGGGTGGATGACTCAATAACTTCCCTGTTCTGTTCATTCCCTTTGAAGCATCTGGCACTGGCCACTGTTGGAGGACAGGATACTGGGCTAGATGGATCATTGGTCTGATCCAGTATGGCCATGTCATCCCCCAGTGCGCCAGCCAAAACAACTGAGCCAGCATATGCTACTACTATGACGGTAGCAGTTTATTCTCTCATGCCCACCCCTCCCCTCTCTCTCTCTCACTCTCTCACTCTCCTCTGAACAAGGAGAACTTAGAAGGAACATAACAATCTAGCCCTTAGTGTCTTAACTCCACTGCTGTGAGTCCTAAGTGGTGGTAGTGTTGTTTTTGTTAATACATTTTCTTTTAGAAGATTGATGTTAGTGACTAAAAGAGCTTTTTCTCCTTAACACGGTGCTTTTTTATGTTTAAAATAAAGAGAAAGTGTTGCTTCTAAGTGCTGCCATTCCAAACTTCTGTGGTGTTTTTTAGAGACTAGCTCATCTATATGACACACTTCATCGGGCATACAGCAAAGTAACAGAAGTTATGCATACAGGCAGGAGACTACTTGGCACTTATTTCAGAGTAGCATTCTTTGGACAGGTAAGCATTATTTAATATCACCTTGTCAACTATAAAATACAGTCAAAAAACTATTAAAAATTTTGCAACATATCCTGATTCAGTCTTCCTTTGATTTCTATATTGACACTGCAAAATAAAAAACATGATAGATTTGTTCTGGTAGTAATGATTGTCTGGTTTAATACATTTGTCATATCCAGTGTGATTCCTCCTTATCTTCCTCAGTAAACTTTCTGCTTTTTCTTTTTCTTTCTTTTTGTTACTATCTTAAGGCAGCGGTAAGTTCTCCATAATAATAATTCTTAGCAATTTTTTGAGCACCATCTTTGGTACTGCAGTGTGGTTTGCAAGTTTGCTTCTCAGATCTGTATGCATTCTAGCTGTTGTAATTCCAAAAATAACATTCAGTGCCATTTACAGAAACAAATCACCTATTTCCTATACATCAGCGCTGCATGCTTCAAAAAACAAAATCAAAAGTTCTGGCTGACTGTGTGCATTTGACAGCTTCACATCCTGTAATATATCTACACTGTATTTGTATCAGTAAAATATGCCACAGTAGCCAATATTGTGTACATTTGTTGTGTGTGTAACCCAGTTTTTAGTTAACTGATTTCATTTGGATAGCTGACAGGCTGTTTAGGGAATGGGGAGATTGTAAACTACGTTGAGAAATATAACCTTCAATTTATTCTGTTGTTGTCTTTTATAACTTTATAGCAATACCAGTTTACAGACAGTGAAAGAGATGTGGAGGTAATTACAGTAGCTGCTTACAAAGCAAGCAATGCAGTAAAAATTACTGCATTTCAGCTTAGTTTGATGTGGGTATTTTTGTCAGTGTAGCCTGTGTTTATACATGGTATGTTCTGTTTCTTTCACTTTTTGTCTGTTCCATCTTATGACAGAAATATTTATTTTCTGATTTAAAACATTAACTCAGACTTGGCTTTTGGCTTTAAAGCAGTCACCTGTTTCACCTTCCATGCACTTCTATATTTGATTCAACCAAGATTTCAAAACAGATGGTTTAACAGTGAAAACACACAAATATTTATGTTCAATATAATGTAAAGATTTTTAAATGAGAAAGTAGGTGTGGTTTTATTTCATTGTACTGTACAATCCAGTATGTAAAACCCCCATAAAACTGTTTTTCAATCTTTTTTTGTAAATTGCTATTGAAGCAGTCAATGGAGAGTCAAATAATCCCTTTTGGCAGGGAAATGGATCTTTTGGCAAGTGAAACAGGGATGAAAACAATTCATTTTGGAAGAATATGAAAAATCAGTTTTGATCCCAAAACTTTTAATGTTAGCACATCAAATAATTACAACAATCCTTTCATCAGTTTGTAATTTTGTGTGCTTCCATTACCTGTGCACTCATTCTATAGTAGTTAATTCACTTTTTTTTCTCATAGGGTACCTTTTTAACTTGGATTTTATTTTGATAGTTTTGATAGATATTTTTACTTTTGCTTGAACCGTGACATTGAACATTTAAGTTTGCCTTGAAAAGCATAAACCACTCTGTATGTTGTAACAATTGGCGGCTGTTCTTTAAGGATTCTAATTATTGTTTGTTTCTTACAGGGATTCTTTGAGGATGAAGATGGAAAGGAGTATATATATAAAGAGCCTAAACTCACATCTCTTTCCGAGATATCCCAGAGACTACATAAGCTCTACTCTGACAAATTTGGATCAGAAAACGTCAGAATGATCCAGGATTCTGGCAAAGTAAAACTGTTTATTTGTAAAGCAGGATATGTTATTTAAAACTAAAACAAGTTTATCCCAAAAATCTCATAATTACATTTCATGAATCTCTAGAAAATCAAGAATCTGAGTTTGAATCATCACTATCCTATCCTCATTATGTGTGCACACATGCTGCGTATCTGAATAAAGTGTTGGCTGTAGGGGGCAAGGGGCATGATGGCTCTCATAAAGTATGCCTTAGTTTTGAATTTCCTGGCTTTTGTCACGCATAGCAATGTAAGGCTTTTCTGTTAAGACAAAACTGAGTAACTTTTAAATGTGCCTTGTTATCTTTATGTCATTTGGCTACTTGCTGCCCACACAGTGTACCATAGATCCTTCTCCTTCCTATGCATGCTCAGTTATCCTCACAGAGGGTTTTTCCCACTTCTGCAGTTTGGGGTAGAGTCCAAATTGATTCAGTTGCAGTGAGAGATACAGACCACCCTTTTGTGAAACCCTTTCACAGGTTCTCAAACACTATGGGGCACAGATGGGTTTTCAGGTTCTCAGACACAGATGGGGCAATAGTAGTACCTAGATAGAAGTCTCTGTGTCCAAAATCTAGTGTACAGTAGAGCTAGAGCTCCCTTTGGTAAGCCTAGCTGAGTATTTATTGGGAAAAAATTGATAATTTGCCCACAAATCTCTTTTATATGATTGGCCTCTCAAATTAGCCCTTTGTCTGCTTTGTCACTCAGTTGGAGATATTCTCCCTCGTGGCTGAGGGTTCCCAAGATGGTGCACACACATAACAGAAGATCAAGCAGAACAGAGCTACAGCAACTCTCAGGTTGAAAAGGACATCTTGTGCATAAGAGGCCATTCTAGGTCCCAACTCGTTCCCCTTAACATCTAGTCCAGAACTCTTGACCAGCAGCTAAGCTTCACCCTCCACCAAACTCCAGAGCCAGCAGCAATTCCCTCCTAAATTACCACTTCTTGCCTGTCCTGCTCTGTCTGTCTGACAAGGTCACAAGATTCATTGGACACTTCTCAGCCTAACAAGGCAGCAGTGAGGGGGAAGCTGCCCCCACTCACACTGGAACCTGAATGGGAATAAAAACTCAGGCTAGGACCAAACTTCACAGACCTATGCTGTACCCTCAGTTCTTCGCAACCTTTCCAATGTGCTTGGATATAAATGCTTTAAACCCAGTGAGGATTTCTCTTACAACTAGTCAAAATTGGTGTGTTTGAGGAGAATAGGCTGTACTCTATCCTTTTTATATCTATGGACTATTCTCAGGTTTTGCCTCCATCATGCAGTCTAGTCAGAGTTTTCGGGGAAGTGTCTGTCTTCCTGTCTTTGTCTCATACTCAGCAAGCAAAGTTACCCATCAGTTCCAGGGAAGGGGTCTGAAAACACCGCAGACTTTGCTTCCAAAAAGAAATCAACAGTGTGTCTGAGTGGGGTAGGGCACTGGACTGGGACCTTAAGAAACTTGAGTTCTAGTCCCAGTTCTGCCATTGTCCTAGTAGGTGACCTTGAGCAGGTCTCTTCACTTTTCTGTGCCTCGTTTTCCATATCTAACATTGAAATACAGCACTTGACAAAGGAGGAAAGTACCATTGAGTTGTGTAGATAAAAAGCACTGTATAAGAGTTGGGAACTATATTTTCTTTAATATGATCTTTCTGCACACGCCTCTTCCTTTCAGGAAAAACAGCCACAATACTATACAAAAATTGACCGTCAGAAGTATCTTGGGTATATGATCCCTATCATCATAGTATTGGAGTGCCTCATAAACAGGAATGAGTTGATCATAATAATTCCCCTGTGAGGTATGGAAGTATAATTATTGCCACTTTACAGATGGCAAGTTGAGGCACAAATAGATAAAATTATATACACCTCTACCTCGATATAACGCTGTCCTCGGGAGCCAAAAAATCGTACTGCGTTATAGGTGAAACCGCGTTATATTGAACTTGCTTTGCTCCACCGGCGTGCGCAGCCCCGCCCCCCCCGGAGCACTGCTTTACCGCGTTATATCCGAATTCGTGTTATATCGGGTAGCGTTATATCGAGGTAGAGGTGTATTCAGAGTCACACAGGCAGTCTGTGGCAGAGGCAGTAATTTAAACCCATGTCTCCCAAGTCCCAACCCAGTGCCTTAATCACAAAGTGAAATCCTGACCCCATTAAAGTCAAAGACAAAACTCCCGTTGTTTTCAACTTCAGGATTTCACCCAATGACTTCGTTTGAATGTTTGTAGTGTGGTTAATACTTTTAGTGGTTTACCGAGTTGATTTGTCATGTTTTGGTGACATTTCTGGGGTATTTTGTTTTAAGTTTAATTTTTCTACGTGATCTTTTGACTTGTTTTTTTGCTTTTGATAATATTTCTCTCTGAGATGGTATGCTATAAAGAACATTTTTAACTGGTAACGATATAACAATAATAATTTTTGACTTCAAGGTTATCCTTGTACCAGCTGTAGAGAGACAGGACACCAGTATTTGTTTCCTCACTCTTGACTGCTCAATTGTGCTTAGTTAATTCTTCTGTTAATGTAGCGTCTTAATGGAATTTAATATAATTTGCTATGTTGACACTGCTCTGTGTATGTGTCTTTTATCTGCAGTCCTGTACTCTAAAAAGGTAGAAAATTGTGTCACTAGACAAATATACTAATGTTATACTATCACTGCCTGTAACTTTTAAGTTAATAAAGGAGGGTACTTCAGTTCTGAAATCAGTGGAGCTCAGGGGTTTCACACCTGGATTTACTTGCAGAACCAGAGCCAAATCTACTTTATAAAAACTATACAATTTCAAATTAAAAAATCAACTTTAAATAGTTGCAATTTACATATTTTTCTATTTTTCTAAAGGTGAATCCCAAGGATTTGGACTCAAAATATGCATATATACAAGTTACACATGTAGTCCCATATTTTGAAGAAAAGGAATTGCAAGAGAGAAAAACAGAGTTTGAAAGAACTCACAATATTCGTCGTTTTATGTTTGAAATGCCCTTTACTCAATCTGGTAAAAGACGAGGCGGAGTGGAAGAACAGTGTAAACGACGAACTATTTTGACAGGTATTGTAGGATGGATTTCTCTCTCTCTTTAAAGAGGACTGCTTTTTTGTATTATGTCTTCATATTTAGCTCTTGGTGTTTGGAATTCTGTAAATGAATAACCTCTTGTGTTTTGTCAGGAGAATCCCAGTTCATTTCAAGGATTTCATGCAAGACTGTTGATGGTAGCTACTAAAGCAAAATAAACCAAAGATTAGGTGTAGGCCAAACAAACTTCTTTTCTTTCAAACTGTACATACACTTCATGATGTATTAAATGTAACAAAGAAATCCTCTTACTTTTCTGTAAGAGAGTATTGATCCTATGGCAGTACATTTTGTCATGTGATCCCTTTGCACTCCGATAACTGCTGATCAGAGAATGTGGAGGAAGATCACATAAGAATAGGATCCCACATAGCTTTTACTTTCAAATTAATATTTTTGTTTTGGATAAAGGGGTTCCTCAATCTTTTTTTTGTGCTTACCTCCCTTACTTATAATGCAATCAATAATAAGAATATGGAAACTAGGGCTAAGAGTTATCACCATATCAGTTAGGGCTGTGATCTTGGATAAGACACCTCCATGGAAAACCTATGTGCTGTAAGAATCAATGATTGTGATTCAGCGAATGTCAATCTTCCTTCTTGGATTGGTACTTAATTAGTGCCTCAAGATGTTGTCAGATACCTATGTTACTGGAAGAGCTGATGATCTGGCTGTGTCATAGTATTGAGTTCAGTTGGTTTGCTCTGTCATGAACTTCCAGTATGATCGTGGGTGAGTCATTCACTAGTTTGTCTTAACTTTCCCATTGTTATCTTTAAAATGAACATCATAAACTTCTCTATCTCTTATGGGTGTAGATGTAAGTGGCTGAATTCACTAATACCTACAGAATACTTTGTGGTCTTTATATGAAAGGCACTATAGAAGTGTGAAGTGTTACATTTTATCCAAAAGATAATATTTAAACCTGGGGTCCTGACCATTTATAGTAATTAAACTTCTCGCTAGGCATTGATCTAAAGTAGGATCATTAACCCAAATGTCCTTGTTGTATTACAGTTTGGGTATTTTCAGTCCACTTGCCTAAAAATCCTATGTTGTTTTTTAAGTATTTTTCATTTCCCATCCAAAAATATTGCATAGGGTTAGACTTGCTACTTGAGCAGTCTGGAGATTTTTCCAATGGAACATTTTTCCAGTGGAAAATTCCAGTTCTCTGAAATCAAAACATTCTGAAGGAACATATTAATTTCTATGAAACTTTTGACAGAAACCAGGTAGGTTCCATCAGAAACTTGCCTGGTTTCCTACCTGCCTCCTTGGCAGCCTGGGTTCCCAGATCTTCAGCTGCCCAGGCTTCCAGGATTTGAAGCTCCATGGGACACCAGGGAGCTTATTTCATTTTGGATTAACAAATTATTGTGGGCTTGCAGTTCTATGAAAAAAATGAAGTTTTTGGATTTTCATCCTGATTCAGGATTTTAAAAAAAAAAAAATCCAAAAATTTCAATTTTTTTTAAGTTATTTTTCCCAGCCAGTTCTAGTAACTACACTTGTGTAGCTTGAGAACTGATTCTCCTTCTAGAGTTGCCTGTGCTCTTGCACAGCCTTTGCTGTTAGCATCCACTGGGTCTGCTTGAACCCTCTTACTGCCGCATCTTAAGCTGGAAGATATAAAGGGGAACTCTTTCCCAACTGCTGTTTTGTTCTAGTTAACTCCCATAGGAGCAGCAAGTGAGAATCTACCAGTATCCTGGATGCTTTCGTCTGTCAGTACCCTTACTCTATCCAATATGGTTTTTTTGCTTTTAGCTTTCTAGTTAGATTGTTTTAGTTCTGCAACATTGTGACCCTACTGGTGTTTGACTCCATTTACATAATCCTTCATTCTCCATTTCTATGTTGATTATACACCATGGTTAGCTCACAGGATTTGGGTCTTAATTCTTCTTTTTTCCGAGTCTCCATCTCCAGTTGGTACCATGGTTTATTGATCCCAATAAAAACACCATCTTTAAGCTTTGCCAATCAAAAAATGCTATAACAACTGTTACTGATGACTATGTATGTTGCCTCGATGAGGGTCACCGTGCAGATTAAATACACAGGCATTGCTATCACCTTGAATTCAAAGGGAGTAGGAAGGCTGCCTCAAACGCCATCTGTTAGAAGAGGTGATTAATGCCATTTGTCAGAGCTTGAGAAGCATGGAAAGGCCACATCAAAGGGCACCTCAGCATCACTCTTATGGCTAAGGCCAGTGCTGAGTCCTCTGGGTCAACATCAAGGGGCTCCTTGACAACTCTGACATTTGGTAGACCAAAAATGTTGGTGTCGAAGCTAAGAATACCAGGAAGGCTGACTTAAAGGCCTCTGACCTGGAAAACTTACACCGACTCTTTGAAGGTGACCTCCAAAGTATTTTTTAATTGAATTTGTGCCTCTTTTCCTATTCAGTTTTTATCTTAGTAAAGCCAGAAATCACATAGCTGGTCTTCCCTGTTTTAACTGGAGAACTACTTTGGGACTTGTCTGTACTGGAAAATGTATTGTGTTATACCATTTTAACTAACACAGTGGTAAATACAACTTAGTTCACATTCTCCCTGCCCCCTTTGAATTAAGAGGAAAATTACAAGGAGATATTACACAACACTACTAAGACTACCTGGACGGTTATTAGTTAGCAAATATTATAACTTGGTATCATTGCTACAATGTGTACATCTATTGAATACACAATTTTAAAAAATAATACACATATTGGTACACCTCTATCCTGGGGGATTTCATTCTCCAGTGCAGTACCTGAAATAGATTATGGATAGTAGTATTAATTTTCCGCTAGGAAAGTCTATCATTTAAAGGAAAATATAATTAAGTATGGCTAAGAAGTTTAGCGAGTTTAATTTATAATCCTGTTTTGTAAAACATTCTTTGGTAGAAAGTGGCATTTTATTGTATAGTTACCAAATTATTACATTTTTATCATTCTCTAAAGCAATTAAAGTAACTAATTTTAAAAAAATTATAAACTTCCTTTGCAAAAGAAGTTCAATTTAAACACATGATTTCTTTATTGCTTCTGAACTGCAATAAATTAGTTCACTTATATGTCAAGGTCAGGGCCTGATTATTTTACATACTGAGTCATACATACTGTTTCCATTGGGATTATAACAAACGGTACTTTTTAAAAGAAGTTTTGCATATTTATATGTCATTCATAAGTTACTATGTTGTGTACTTTGATCATTTAAGACAGAGTTTCCTGAAGTATGAGGCACATCCCCTGGAATGTGTAAATATTCAGCACCACATGGTGGAGTTGAAGGGGGGGGGGGGGGGGGTGATTGGCTTCATTTTCGTGAAAAGAGGTTTGGGGACAGCTTTGAAAAGTTTGGAAAAGGCTGATTTAAGAAATGTTAGGAATTTGGTAATCCACAAAAGCAAGGAAATTCAGAGTTGGCTAACACTTGATTTCAGTAGTAACAGAATCGCACTTGTGACCATCCAACCCAAAATGTTTTAATAGTTTCATTTGGAATGTATTTCTTTATTAACTAAAATGCCTTAAAAGGAAACTCTGAACTTTTTTTATACTATTGCCAAGCAATACTGAAGGCTAATACTGAAAGATATTGGAGAATAAATGTTTGTGGTGTTTTTCAGTTTGTTTACTTTATGAATTTGGCAGCATTTTGTGTATCATGTAACAAGAGATTGTTTGCTGTATGGTTGTAGCAATAAAAATCATTACTAGCATAATAAACTTCTTTGAAGAATTTTGTAAAGCTCCACCAACATATAAACTGTTTAAAATAGCTTCATGTAATCAGAAATTGATTACTTAATCTGTTTTTTTCCCTAGCTATACATTGTTTTCCCTATGTGAAAAAGCGCATTCCTGTAATGTATCAGCACCATACAGATCTAAACCCAGTTGAAGTAGCCATTGATGAAATGAGTAAGAAGGTTGCAGAGCTCAGGCAGCTTTGTTCTTCAACTGAAGTAGATATGATCAAACTGCAGCTAAAGCTACAGGGAAGTGTCAGTGTTCAGGTAAGATCACATACCTGCCTGTGCGCCAGATCTCATCTATTGCTTTCCCCAACAAAATATGATAAATGAACTTTCAGCATTTTTATCCTTACAAAGTGTCTATTTTTATGTGAAATTATTGAATGTTTCATATAAAAAGTATGTATCATTCATTGTCCTAGATTATTTTTCATAACAAACCGTAACAGCTTTTGACAATTAAACAAAGGACTCAAAGCTATGTGACTGACTTGTATGACCAACTTAGCTCCTTTTGGTTCCAGAGTGAGAGGCTGGAACAGGAATAAAACACTAGCTTCTCAAATAACAGGGATGAATTAATTCATTTTGCTTGATTTCAAACCCACTCATATGTTGGGTTCAAATGCTCTGTTCAAACTTAATCGTTATTGGGTTTGAATTCCAGTCAAACGCTTTTTGAAAAAAGAAGCCCAAAAAGTGTCAGAACAGGAAGGGGAAAAGAATGAAAATTGGAGCAGATAATGAACATAAAGTTAAAAAAAAAAAAAAAAAAAAGAACATTGGTTGAGAGAACATTTATAAGAGAGAAAATTGTATACGTGTGTGAGATGATATTGGGGGAGCTGGTAGCAAGCAGTATATAGGTTGGTTAGCACTTTCCAGGCATACTGTTCTATGACATAGGACCATGGCCTCATTTAGTGAACACAATGGATGCACAGAGGGACAGAATTAAGGTTGCCCCGACAACCATAAATCTAGTGCTTTCTGACTTTTGAGTGCTTGTCTTTACAACCTAAATGAGGTGTTTTTAATATAGCTTTTGTATGCATGAGTTATATACACACACACACGCATTCTCTATCAAAGCCACTCATTTGTACCATCATCGCTTTTGAGGGTGACAGCCCATCTCTAAAATGGGTTTTCCTTTAGCTATTAAACCTTTTATTTCTTTGTTTTATTTATAATTATGTGACAATTTCAAAATTGTGATAGGTTGTAAAATAGTGTTAAAAAAGATACCTACAACCAGCGTGGAACACACACATACACAAGATGCCATTGGAAGTAGCAGTAGGCTGGTGCTTTCAGGCAACCGCTGTGGATTGCAGTGCAGTCACTGCTAGCCTTCCCCTCTGTTGTTGACATAGGAAACTACCTGAGGATGGTATCAGAGATTCTATATGCAAAAAACTAAAGGGAGAAATTATCAGGGGCCTCAAAATGAACTACATTACAAATTTTGATTTAAAGAACGAAGATTGGTGATCTGCTCAGTGTGACCATCTCTTTTTCTAGATGGCGAGCAATGATGATTATGTAGCTTTCAAACACTAACATAGGAAAAGTAGCTATGTCCTCACAGTTTAAAAAAGTTAAGCTTCAGCAAAGATGAGTCCATCAACAATTATATTGTACAGGGACAATACTTATATCCAGTATAGCTCATTTCATGATGCACTCACTATGCTTTACAAAATGAAATCAGCATAGAGATAAATAGAATGAAGAGTTGAAGAACTTGGAGTTATTGGAAGTATTGAATATGAGGCATGACTCTAATCAAAGTAACTAATAACAGTGAACAAAATTGTCATGTGACAGCTGTTTGGCTTGTGTGAAATGAGTTGTCCACATAGCAAGGAACCATTGGGTCCTTCCCCTACAAGAATTGAGAGGTAGTTAGTACACAGGGGCCCCTTCTCAAAAACTTCCCCAATAGCAACCTGGCAACCATTTCAGACTCAAAAGGGCGCACTATCTAGAAAAAGGTTTTGATCCGTAGACAGCAACAAAAGCCCCCACCTTCCCCCTCCCCCCAAAAATAGAAACCTAAACATTTATAAAAGGCCAGAAAATAAGAGAGTTAAGAATCCTGATCTTTCTGAACTTTAGCTCATCCTCTAAAGAAGAGGAACTGTCAGCTTTAGACCATGATAACCTCAAGCCATACGAGCAGGAGATATTCTTTTCTCCCAGATGTGTTTGAGGCCTTGTTGAAGAAAGTGGTGGACACCGTTAGTATTCATCCAAAAAGAGAGGATGAGCAAGCAAAGTCCACAACCAAGACAGAATTTTCAATCTCCCTACACCCCTCTTTGAAGAATTCTTTAGGCAAGAACACGTACTCCTTAAGATTAATGCATCTGTGGTTAAGAATGTGAGAATTCTTGCAGAAGTTTAATTCTTTCCTAAAGCCTCATACCTGAGCCATCCTGAGAAGTAACTTTAAAGCTTTGTTATTAATCATCAGAACTACTCTGGCAACTACTTTTCACAAGGGACATGGTGTCATAAGCCTCACCCCCAAAACCACAATGAGTTTCATTGCTAAAGAAAATAATCCCTGGCTATTGTTTCAGAATGGACATATCCATGGACTGTATGAGGCTGGCAGTGAGGGCCATAGCCACAAACTCTGTAGCTGAACACCAACTTTGGCTCCAACTCTGGATAGAGGTTAATTACTCTTAGCAAATTCTCTGTGCCTCAGAATTCTCTGGCAGACTCTCATTTGAGGGAAAAGCTTGAAGTGGTAATGAACAATAATACAGACAAGCCAAAGAGTTTGCTTCCCCTGTGAGGGCAGAACTTCCTTTCATTCCTACTCACAACAAAGATTAAAGAGAGTGATTCCTGGTAACAGAGCATCATGAGGAAAGCTGGATCAAAAAGTCAATCCAGACCTTCCTTCCAGTCCAAGTCATTAGTGAGACTGCAACTGAGCGTGTCTCTGCCCAGAAATAAATCTACGATTGTGGATATCTCACTTCTTAGACCTACAATTTTGGTCAGCCTTACGCAGGGGTCTGGGAGACCCCAATAACTGATACTCTCTGAAGTTCCATTTCTCCTCCTCATCCAGCCTCGAGGGAGGGTGAGAAATGCCAAGCAATGCAAAAAGATATTGCATCTCTTAGGAGCAACAGAGCCTGTCTCATGAAGGATGGGGTATTCTTTTAGAATGTAAGGCCTCCAGGGTGGGGAATTATCTCTTATCTGTATCTGTACAGTACCCATCCAATGGGGCCTTTATGTGCTATCACAAATATTTACTAATAAATAACAAAGGTTGAGAACCATTCCCAACAAGAAGTGCCCTCATCTGGTAGTGGAAATAGAAGCCCACAAGACAGTAGGATTCAGACACAAAATCCTGAACACAGATGACAGACTTTAGAATAGGAAGCACCCCTGAAGGACTGCAATAAGCAGGGAACGTGGCCAAGGTCAAAGAGTCTCCAAAGCATCAAATTCCTAGGGATAGAAATGATGAGGCTAGCTTCATAGGACTGCTAATTCACCTGCGATAGTAGCATGCGCTGGTTCAACAAGACAATAGACAATGCAATGACCATGGCAGGCACTAGTCATCTGAACCAAACTGTTGGCAGATAAGTTCAAATTTCTGAATCAGGAAGTGTTCAACTGATATCCCAGAAGGTAGGCCATCCCCAGAAAAGTTATTTACATCCAATCTGTTGTAACTAGGTACTTGTGCACTGAAGAAGCAGATCAACAATCTTTGGGAATAGACTATGGCTCATAGATGGCCAAATGGGTTTATGTACAGGCCCCTAACCCTCTTACCACCTACTTTCCTGAACTATTCCTATCTGAACTAGTAGAAGAAACAAATATCACCGCTCCCCAAATTAGCCAAGAAGATTGTGGTACTCAGGCCTAGTGGAGCTATAGCAGAGGTCACCAATCTCTCTCCTATCCCAGGTCTTATTTCTTGACTTCCCAGTCTGCACTACCTGAGCCTGATAGCTTAACTATTGCTCTAGCATTTTTCATATTTTCAGTGAAGCTATGTGACTGGTCTTTGAGAGCCCCTGGTGTCTCTCAGTTCTCATTGACTCAATTCTAGCAGGTGAAGGATCCATTCATTGGTAAAGGACTGTCAAGCATGCTGTCTCTAAGAAAATATATTTATTGTTACTGTATATTTATTTATATTGCATTACTGTCTGGAAGAGCTAGCCAGGTCTTGAACTGTACAGGCCTTCCCCAAAGAGTTTACAATCTTAGGCTTTAAGATGAGCCTCAGCAGGTGGGTAAAATGGAGAGAGTGAATGGGGTAACAGTAATATGAGCATGTTTTTGCATAGGGAAGCTGTGTGCACAATTTTAGATAGTTTAGGGGTTTTTTTAATAATGGAGATAAATAAGCAGATCAGTATGAGCTCACCATCTGCCTAGCATACTAAGGAAGACAAATTTCCTATTTGTTGGCAGTCTTACCAGAGATTGTATTTTGCTGCCACCCTTCCCTCTAGGTCCCCCAGGTCAAGATGCATCACTTTGAGGTGGCAGCATGGGGAAATATATTGATGTGTTGTACCTGTTGAATAAACAGAAGAGTTTTGTTTCCTATTTTATCTATTCAGTACTTTCAACAAACAATAAATTCACTTAAGAAGAACAAACCTACCTAGCCAAACAACTTGTTTCACTATATATGTGTGTAGGTATAAATATATATAAATGCTTTAGCTGGGACAATATGGTAATATAGCAAATCAACTTTATTTTAAATTCTTTTGTCTTGTTTTAGGTTAATGCTGGTCCATTAGCATATGCAAGAGCTTTCTTAGATGACACAAATACCAAAAAGTATCCAGACAATAAAGTGAAATTACTGAAGGAAGTTTTCAGGTAAACTGTCTGAATGTACACTGAATAACTTTTTAAAGACTGATGTTTTAGGCAGGTTTTGTTTTAGTCATTTACTTTAACATTACCAACGTCCTTGCCACACTAACAAGGTATTCTAAAACTAACAATTAGCATTTGACATTTCTCCTCTAGATTTTGCATAAACGTTATGTCTTTTTCTTTTCTGTTTTTTATACAACTTCAGACAATTTGTTGAGGCTTGTGGTCTTGCTTTGGGTATAAATGAACGACTTATAAAGGAAGATCAATTAGAATATCAAGAAGAAATGAAGGCTAACTACAGAGAAATGGCAAAAGAACTTTCTGAAATAATGCATGAACAAGTATGTACTGAATCCTAAATACTATATATAACGCCATCCAGGATATAGTCAACCATGCTATAATATGCACCGTTACCTACAGGGGAAATATTCAATCTTTTTTTTTTTCTTCAGTGTTCTACTCTTGCATCAGAACTCTCCTACTATCCTGTGGTCACAACATGGTTTTCTCTAATTTTGTCAATAATTTGTCATATTTGTAAATGCTCACACATATTTACTGCAAATGCAAATGAAATAATTTAATATTTTTAAATAATCATTAATAATCAACAAGGATACAACAAAAACTCATAAATTTTTTAAAATTGACTGTCAGTGAGTAGTCTACATGGAGCGAAGTACAAAAGTTACTGTAAGTGGTCCTTACCCTACGTAAGGTTTATTGAAATGATCCCATGTTAATTGTCACACGGTAATAATTTAATAGAGAGGAGGTGGCTTAAGACTTCACTTTTTAATGCTGAGAGAGGACATTTTTGTTGACTTCAGCCAAAATTTCTTTAAAATAAAAAATACTTAAATACTAAGATTTTTTCTTTTAAGAAACCTAAGCATACATAGTATAATTATGCATAATACCTACATATAAAATTTTCTTCTGAAATAATATTCGTTCTGTCAATGTTATATGCAGTAAATATTTTGTGTAAGTGTGAACTATGATTTTCTTAGGTATATTAATTATAGAATTTAAATATCTGTCCATAAATCATTTTGTACACATTTCATTTTGTGATTGGCACCTTACAGTCTTGTTCACAATGTCATCTCTCCCTACAAAGGGTTTTCTGTTCTGTAGAGTGAATTCCATTTAATGACATTCATTGAGTTCTTGTTCTTGCAGAGAAGTGAGATTTTAAATGCATAGAACTGTAAGTTACATCGGTGTATCATCTTTCAAATTTTTATTTCTTAATTGTCTTTAGTTAACGTGATGTTCAAAATGTTATGGTGAAGCTTGGAGCGTAGCAAGTACTATATAAGACTATTCTCACACGTACATCTTCTCTATCGTACTTTTTCAAAGAAGAAAATTTCCTACACACATGACTTTTACAGTGTCACACAGCATAATGTGGGCATAGAAAACACATTTATTCTACAAAAACTATAAAAATAGTATTTACATATAGGCATAAATGTATATGACCTTTCAACAGATCTAGAGTGAAATTTTTTCCCTGCTGCAAAGAACTTATAGTTGAAGGCAGAAAAGACTTGGGACAACAGTGCAAATGAGGAAGACTATATAGGAAAGATCATTGTAAGAAGTGGGGTTAGAAGAAATGAGATTGTGCTTGGTGGACAAAAAATGGGACAGTTTGACTAATAATATTTGAACCTGATGTGGTAAAAGGCAGGAATCCAGTGGAGAAGTTCAAAAAGAGGGATAATATGGCTTTAATGACAGGTGTTGACTGAGCAGCAGCATATCTTGGATAAGATAATGGAGGTATGTGTGAGACGTAGGAGGTCATAGAGAAGAGCATTGCAATAATAAGAGGAAAAATGGTAAAGATGTGGACAAATGCTTTAGCAATGGCAATAGGGAGGGAAAGGCTGTATGTTAATATTACATAGGAAGAAATAATAGGACATAATGAGAACTTGAATGTGGTCAAGAGGATGGAGGAGATTGAGGAACCTAAAATAACACTGCAGTTAAAAGTCTAGAAAGATAGTAGCATTTTAGCAACATGAGAGCGAGGAGGGATTATAGAGACGTTAAGCAGAACTAGGAAAAAATTGATTTGAGGTGAGTCCAGGACGTTAGGAGTAGATTTTTGAGGAACAGGCATGGGGCATGAGGATACAATTGATTCCCTTACATAGTTTCCCTTCCTGTGATTGTAAAACGTGATACATGATCTACTGTAAGGCTGCAGTAATGTACACTACTGTCATAATATGCCAGTTTGTTGTTCTTATACAAATATGATACATTAGAAAATGTGCTAATTCAGTTAAATGTTAGATAAAAGTGAAATGAGTCATTCTTTACAAGTTTTAAATTATATTTCAACATTTGAAGGTCCTCATTGAGAAATAAAATTAGTGTAGAAATTTAAATTTTAATTAAAAATTATAATTCACAGGAAACCTTTTATCTGGAATTCATTTTGAATTCTTTAAAAAGTAGATTTTATATGACTGTACCTTATTTCTGTAGTTCAGAAATTCACAGAACATTTCAGCAATTTAATTTTTGTTCTGCAGGCAATGAAAAAGCGAATTAATATCAACTGCCCTAAATAATTAGTGTAGAGATTAAACAGTTGATTGCAAGAAACTTTAAATGTTATATGAAGGGGTTTTTTTATATACAAATGAATCTTAACAGACTTCTCTTTTTTCTCTCCTGTGCTGCTCACAAACATGATCAGATGGGATGGTAATATTTTTTGTTTCTGATTTCAGGGTCTCTTTCTAGTTTTGTATAATTCCTTTTTACCACTGTAGCACAGGATGAACACTTTGCTTCATGGCACAAAACTGACTCAAGTTAGGAATAGACTTTGGGTCGCTTTAATCTTTTTCCCACATCCGAAGTATATTGTGGCGCCAGAGTGGCCATTTCTCACTGTGTAAGATCCCTTTTTTGTCAGTCCATAGGCACCATCCTGGGGAATATGCTGTTCCACACTCCTGGTATGGAAATAGCACAGCCATTAGGGAAGAGGGGAATCTAGTTTCCGAGGGAGAATGGTGGAAGAGCAGTCCTAGTGGCAAAGCACAGCAAGGCTTTTGAATGCTTAACAAAGCTTTTGTATTAGCATTTTTTATATTTATCATTTAAATTGTCCATAATTCTTTCTCTGACAACAGTCAAAAGTAAACTTTTTTTGTGTTTGGCTGAGAAGTAAATGGTCTACAAATGGACTTTCATTTTTATAATGCCCACTGTTCTGTCTGTCTGCATTTTTCCAAACAAGCTGAGATTTGATGATTGCTTCCTCCTTCCATCAGAAGTTATTTCTATTGTTAACTTGTGAAAGGGGAGCTGTCTGAGTCTCAGCCAGCAAGAAAAGTGTAATCATTTAATTAGGAAGGTGTATCATCTGATGTTGTAGCAAGGTTTAGCACCCAATACAATACTAGAATTGGATCCCTGGGAATAATGTTAACCGCCACAAAAGAGAAAATTGTATGCCATTGAAGACCATATGAAAAATAGTCTAGATAAATTGTACAATCTGAAAATACCCCACTGTTTTATTTAGTTTATTTAATTATTTTATACATAATTTTGTGTATCCGTGATCAGTTTTCGGGTGAAGTTATAGCTCTGTTTATTTTCCATTTAAGATTGTTCCTGTTGAAGAAAAAACCAGTGTTATGTCTAATTCACTACACATTTTCAACGCCATAAGTGGAACTCCAACAAGCACAGCGGTTCATGGGATTCCCAGTTCTTCTTCAGTTGCATGAGTGTTTTGTAAGGAAAGTAAAGTATATGCATGGATTTGCTTTATTATTTGCAAACTCAGGATGATTTTAAAGCTAAATATTGGACACGTGCAAGCCATGTAAATTTAGCACACTAAAACACTGAGCACACTAAATCTCGGGACAGGCGGGAATAAACAATAGTGGTGGTAGACTTCTAAAGTAAATAGAAAGGTGAACATATATTTTTAAATTTTGCTGGCAATATTAAAAGTTTTCATGTCTTTGCAGAGGTCTGTCTTGGGAACTTTTATGATAGTTAATTTCTCTTTTTCCTTAGAAAGTATTATTAAAATGAATGGCACATTACAAAAAGGTGGTGTAGAATGTACATTTGCAGATATATAATATTCAGATGTTCTTTTTATGTATGGCACATATAGATTGATTCCAAGTTCAAGAACTATTTTGGGACTAGATAGAGACACTAATTTAATGGAACTGACACTAGTAGTTTTTGTACCATTGACAAATTGTTGTGCTCCATTTTATACCTTGTTGGCATATTGAAAGTATGTGAGCTTAAAGCTGATGGAAAAATTAAGTACAACCAAATGTCTGTATTAATGAACACCAGGCACCAAGTTACACTAGAATATAAGTAGTGGTAAACTGATATGTACATATTGTTTGTTAATACAGTCCATAGATTCTGTACATAAATGTATGACATTTCTAAACAATTTTTAAATAGTCATAGCAGCTCTCAAGCCTTCTGCTTTAAATTTAATTGTGACATATTTGTGCTCATTCCAAGTATATGCTATATACAGTTTGTTTATTCTTGTATATAAATAAGTGCAATATGAAGATGTATACAGTCTTTGCTATGTTAGGTTTATACACTGTTTTGAAAAAAATCATCCCTTTTGCCAAAGCAATGGAATACAAAATAGGTGATCGTATTCTGTTAAATGGTGGTGTAATTTAAAGCTTTTACCATATTATTGTTCTTTTAAGACACTAATTTAGTAATTTTATATTTGGGGAAATAAAGGTTTTAAATTTTATTTAACTGGAAGCACTGTCCTGCTGTAATTAAACATTCTGTACTACATCTGTATTAAAAAAAAGTAGCTAATTTCTCTACAATGTGTTCTGGGTTCTATTATTTTACAGTTTATACATTAAGGAGCAAGAACTCAACTTCACTCATACAAAATCAGATTATTGCAATTAAAATATGACATACAATATGGAAGTTCTATGAATTATTTCTCTACAGTGACGTTATTTCCTGTGATATACTCCTACACATTCATTATTGTTAGTTTATTACCTCCATAGGAATTCTGCTCACTGAAGCAGTCCTTTCATGAATCCATCCAAAAAATACTTGTAGTAATAACTTACGCTGCCCTTAATAACCAGTAAATCAGTGCCATTGACCCACCTCCCCCGCCAAAAAAAAACCATTTTTTTTCCATCAAGCAGTACTTTAGAAATTTTTCTCATCCTTACAGCATGGATGTGCTGACATTTTCATTAGTAGGGGGTGAATATCTATTGTCATTGTTTGCCAATGGTATTTGAAGAGACAGCATTTTTGGTTTATATCACTAATACATAGTAAGTATTGGCTCTCATGGTATTTAGATGAAATTCTGAATAGCACTGCTTCAAATATATTGTTGAAAGATATGTATTTGCTAAAAAAAAAAGGGGGGGGTGCTTTACTTTAAAAAGGGATGTAGCTAGGGAAGTAAAAAGGGTAGTGACTAGTGAACACTTGAGGCTGTAGCAAGACTGACTTCTTTCTTATGAGTCCTCCACCTTTGTATCAATCATCTGTGGACATGGGAACCCCTTATTATAGATATGTGTAGCTACCCTCAAAACTCATTTTACGTGTTGGGAAAATGTCCCTTCAAAAAAAATTGTTTAGGAAGTCTATCAGTGAAAATGTTTCAATGAATTTCATTGAAAAAAAATAATATTACCTGCAGGATTTATAATTCAAACAATGCAGCAACCTCAATATATGAAAACTAAAAAGTTAATTAAAATTTGATTGTAAACAAAAATTAGACAAATTAGTCTCACTGTCCAAGATGGCTATACTATACAAAAGGAAGGAAAGAGCATAAACGGTGACAAGTAAATTAGACCTTTTTACTTTTGTTTTTACAATCTACATTACACAGGGGAAGAAACCATTTAAATTGTTGGTGTAACTTTTTTTTTTTACGGGAGGATCGAGAACTAAACAATAGGGCAAAGATACATTAAAATCCTTTAACCTGGTCTTTTTTTTCAAGCCTCTCACTGTCAAAGAACCTGTGTGTGTCCTTTGTTTAGATGAGCTTTACAAATAAGCTTTCTCTCTCATTCTTTTCTAATACCCAACTGAGGGCATTCTTAAGAATTGACCATCTTACAATTACATGTTATAAAAAATATTGTAAAACTAGAACTTGAATAAGCACGTATTAAAGATTCCCAAAAGTTAAGAAGGAATATAACTTATAATGTACTCTAAAGTCAGAAAGAGAAACAAAATGCAAATTCGTTGCTTGGCAATTATAAAATCCTGAAAAGTGAGAGAGATTCATATTTGAAATAGACATATCTCCCGGTGTTACTTCTACTGGTTCTTTGATTTTTTTTATTAAATCTCTCCTAGATATGATAAAAATCTTTATTAGAATCTACAGGCTACCAGAGTGATTTGGCTTTTCACTTGGTTGACACAAGAGCTGCAGCCTTAGTCAAGCATAACAATATTTTCACAAGATATATTGTTAGAGGCTGAAGTGTCTGAGAGTAGCCACAGTATCCACATTTTTTTCTTTAAAAGACAAATTAATTTCTCTTATGTGCCTACAGAAATGTTCTGAAAATTAGTTACTCCCAATCACCTTTTGAAATTCCCTCTTACAATGTATTAACTTTATTGATGATAAAGCTTTAGGAAGCATCCTTTAAAATGCAGCTTAGAAACCGTCATAAAATTCCTTTTCCAGTATGTTTTAAACACACTGTACTAACTTTTTTTTCATATATAATAATAAAAACAGTGCACTTCATTTACATGGAGCCTCACCACGTGCAACTCACATATACAGCCTAATAGTCAAATCCTGTAACAGGAAAAAATTATACCCTCAAAACCTCCAAATCATTGAGCTGTGCAGTATCCCTTAGGGAATGTCACTGCAAATGAGCTGTGGTGCTTTACTTCTGAGGGAGCAGACTATTCAACAAGTCATGAGCTGCAGAAGCAAACTATTATGGCTGAGTTGTGGTATTTCAGGGCTTTGCTTTGCTTTGGATTTTAATTTATGGAAGTAATCAAGGCTTTGTAAACTCTCATGACTAAAATTGCAGTCAGCCAAGACTGTTTAGTGCCAGTGCTGCCCACATCACAGATTTGGGTTCCTCCTCATAAGGCCATTAAGGCGATCTCCCAACCAAATTTCCATGCATCATCACAAGCAAAGCTAAGAATTGTGTCAAATGTTGGTGCATCCCCAGACCTGGGGTCTCAGCCTTTGAGGTGGCTCATTTTTATGCAATTGGCTAATGCAGGAGGTGCCAAGAGAGGATCATCTGCTCCCTGAAGTGTCTTTCTTGAGACATTTGAATCCAGGCAGTTCCATGTCAAGACCTCTGTTTTTTCCCCATTGAATTCATGTGCTCAATGGAGGATGGGATGGTGATTCTGGATACTAGTGTTAGTGTTGCAGAGCGTATACAAGGTCCGCTCTTCCAGCTTCCAGGCATCCCTTTTGCTCTGTGTCAGCAGTGATAGATTGCAACACAATCTGAGTGCTTTTTGCCTTAAGAATTAATACTTCTTGTTCAGTCTCACTGCCATGCCATGGCTAATGGAAGAAGCAGAGCTTTGGAATGCCTCTTTTCCTCTCTTATGCTTTCTAGACTTTTTAGATTTTTAGGCGTTTTTTGGTCCAATTTGGTGGTTGATTCCTATCACTGTCAGGGGAACAATCACTCTTCCTACATAGTTCTCCCACTTCTGTCTTAGTATTCGAAGAGGGTTTCAAGCTCCTATTTCCCTCACTGTCCAACATGCAATTGTAGAGGAAATGCAGGAAGTCAGCCCTCAGGGAGCTCAGGTCCTCTGAGGAGTTGGGGAGTATACCTGACTCTTAGTCACTAAGGTACCTGAGAAGAGAGTGGAGCTTTCCCCCCTGGAGTTGTTGGGGAATACTTGAATTGATACTGCTGGAATTTTAGAGAAGATTGCCATGCTTGCTGGGTCCCAGGCATTGCGGAAAACTGACCTGCCCTTGTGGAAGTGTTTGGGTGAGTTTTGCCTGGTGGCGAAGAGTGAAAGCTCCACACATGGCGCCCTTTCCATTGGCAGAGCAATGGTGATGGACTGGGAGCAGTGCTTGCAGAGTTACCTTTCTGTGGCTCCTGAGATGGGCTGTTTCACAGATGGAGAACCTTCTCACATTTACTTGCTCTGTTTGACTGGATCTGCCATGCTGGGGGAGGGAGGAGCAAACCAACTTGGTGGGTGTGTCCTGTTCCAGGAAAGATCCTTTGGGTTGTATATTTCTGTTTTTAAAACTCAACATTTTTCCACCAGGAAAGAAGAGTGGTAATGAGAGGACTGCTTGCTGCTGTCCTGAATTGACTTTAAAAGCCTTGAATTGAAAAGGAGGGAGAGTTGCGCTTTCAACCTAGTCAGAGGCCCTAAACAGAATGTTTGGCCATAGACTGTTTGGGGCTGATGAAGTCTCACCACTCATGAGGAAAAGTCTTAGCTTCTTCCAATATCTAATAGCAGAAATGTGCATCCTAGTCCTGTTGGCTTGAGGGAGAAGGCTAGAAAGTGCTATGCTGCAATTCACAGTAATGAAAACCTGTTCTGGCTCTTTATTTCTAAAAATTCTGGCCCTTATTTTCTAAAACTTAAAGATGACAAATCTGAAGGGTTTAACATTCTTGCTCTTTATGCACTGCCCACACTTAGGGTGGCATGTAGATACAGGCACTACACATGGAGCTATGTGCAACAGTAAAAGCAGACTGTGTCCACACATCACTGTGGTGTGTAGCTACAGTCAGCAGCAAAAGGCTCTGGCAGGAGGGAGGCAGCGGGGAAAGGCTTCAGCAACAAGCTCTGCCGGAGCCTTTCACCACTGCCAAAGCCTTTCACTGCAGTGGGGAAAGGCTCTAACAGCAGGG